CAAATATAATCTTTAGGTTAATTCTGTGTAACTTTTGAATAAGAGAGACTCTAACTCAAATAGTCAATCATATTTTAACAAAGCAACAAAAAATTAGTAGAAAAGACACAAGGTACTAATGATGAAATAATGTCAAAGGTACAATTTTTTTTCAGAAACACTGAATTGAAAAACTGAAAGCAAAGTGAAGAGCAAGCATATAAAAATTCTTAAACGTCAAAACCCAAAAGAATATCACCATTAAAAAGAAAACTAGTAAAGTTATCTGTAAGCTGTACTATAATTACCTAAAACCTAATTAAAACTCTACTGGTCGATATAACCATAATTACTGTAACATTTTTCAGAGCCTAATATGATAAAAAGACTTCTGTGAATTGTTCTGTGCTCCAGCCTTGAAGCAGTCTTGTTGCATAGATCTCTCCCTCATTTTGAGAAGAAATAGAAAATAAAATATCCTCCCCCCAACCCACTGATCCCTCCAATTTATTTCATATAACTACCATAGATCTCAGAAGGCTGTAAGATAAGCAGGTTCATAGTTTGAAACAAAATGACTGTTGTAATGAAGCTTACTATTTTCTTTAGATTTAGTTGATTCTTGAATTAGAAAATGTTTCCATGAAAGAAAATATACTTTCTATTCTTCAACAGAACAGACTATTTGTTAAATCAGAGAAACTATAAATAAGTTTTTAAGCACTTTCTCACTTAAAGGTATCCAGCTGCCCCCTCTGCATTTCCTTCTGCCTTTTCTCCATATCTTATGAGCTGTCAGTGATCCTGGAACTACTCAGCCTGGAAGTAAATGGAAGTGATTATTGCTAAGGAATGATTGATAACTCTGGAGGTGTTCATGTTTGGGGAAAAAAAGGATTAAAACATCTCAGTCTACTTATAAGAAAATAAGGCAAGAGACATAAAGTGATCTTTGGAAAAATGATTGTAAGGTGACAGATTTCATTTTCAATTTTGAGTCTGGGTGAGTTTCTCTGGTGCAGGGAACAGAGTAGGGCAGCTATTGCAAGACCAGCACAACTCTCCAGGACAGGTATTGCTTTTTTTGTTTTTTCATGTTAAGTTATACTTTTCAAGAAGCAGAGTAGGAAAAAAGAGAGAAAGTATCAGGAGAACTATATTCCAGTTAAGTTTGCCACTAACTATATTGTGCTAATTGCTCTTCAATAAATGAGAGGGAGAATCTCAAGGACAATTAAGACTGTTAAGATTTGTAAAAGACCAAGACCCAATGCTCAAATTTCTCACCAAATCTCATTCTTCTGCTATATAATCAAAATACTGGGGATGAGAGAGGAATGCAGCAAGACAAAAGAATCATTTTAATAAACATGGTACATAATGAATTACAATATTATAAAAGATTTCAACAAATATTGCCTATTTACTTTGCTATTACTTGAAATAACAGCTAAATTCTATTTGCTGACAACTATCAAAATATATAAAAATAAATAGGTTTCCCTTGCTAATGTTTTAGCTCTCGCTGATTTCCAATGCATACTTGTGATATGACCATGTAGAAATACACTAGAAGTGAGGCACTTGTGTTATTCTCAGATAACATTTTAACTACAAGGGACTAATAATAAAATCAAATGTTTTCATATTAATAAACACACTTAAAATGCAGAAGGATTCCTTCTGACAGAAGAGAGAAATATTAAAGTAAGAAAGCCAACAGAAAGAAGGATAAATGGAGAAGTTATCCTTTGTCCGAAGTGAATCCAAAGGACCCTGACCCTAGCCCTACTGACTGGAAGATTTTATCAGCCAACATCACCTTTGCTTTCTCTATTTGCTAAGACTATTCTATTTCAGTACTTTAACTTCATTCCCTTTTGACTGTTATTTAACCAGATAAGGATACAGATACATGTATAAAATATTAAATAACAAAATATTATTAGACTATTTAAGAGTATGAACAGGGCTGATTAATGACTATGTCCAGCATATCCATTTGATCAGTTGAAAGAGCAATGGAAATTACATGGATATTTAGGAGACAAGGGTCCTACCTAAGCAGAGAGACTACAAAATACAAAAGCCCTGAGGCTAGAACTTGCTCAATATGCTCAATAACAATAAAGTGTCTAGCATCTAAAATATCCTAAGAAATACACAGTAGTTAAACATCAAGGAGAGGGATAAGAACATAACTTCATAACATTTCAAGAGTCTAATTTCAGTTCCCTTGTCTGATATGCAGTAAAAAATCTTTTTTTTCTAAGAGTGAGCAAGACTTTAATTTTTTAAAGTTGCTTTTTTAAGTGCTTTATGTGACATTCCACTGAAAACTGATCATGTTAAAATTGTGCATTATTCACTTTTCTATTTCACTGTTTCAATCAGTTAGTTGTTCAAAATAAGCCAACTTACAAACATATATTTCAATGTTAAGAACAAGCACCTCAAATTAAATATATCAATGTCTAATTTAAGAAAACTATGCTGAAATAGAAATTAAATCTATATGCTAAATTGCCTCAGAGTATCCCAGGGAAATGGACACTGAAGGATCAACACTGAGAAATAAAATAGAGTTCTTGAACTTCAGAAATAAACAAACAACCCTTTGGGTGGCCAGGCAGAAAGATTACATCATTTATAATGGAAATAAATGGACTGGCTTCATACTTGTACATTTTTTTTCAGAAAATAGTATACCTCTTAGTTCTAAGAGGTTCAAGGAAAAAACAGTATAACTATTTCTTACTTCTAAGATGTTCAAGGAAAATAAGTTGGACCCAATGATTTTTATATCCATCCAAACTGTTCTTCAAGTATAAAGGTTTCAAAAATATAGCAACTAGGGAACTACTGTTAATGAACCATTTCTGAGAAAACTACTACAAGGCTGACTTCAGCCAGTTGAGAGATGACAGGCAATTACGGCAACAGGCAAGTTATTAATACACAATTAAATAAATCTAATTTTTAAACTTCTACCAGAATGTGTCTTTTTTCATTATCTCTTCTTGGTAAGCCATTTCAATCTTATGTGGATTTTTATAAAGTTCAGGGAAATAGTATGAAATTACATTTTGTTACTTTTCTCACTATATTACCTCTATTCTCTTTCTAGAACCTCTAGTCCTATCTCCCTAGACTTCCCCCACCCCCACCCCCACATATTTTGTATCTTCCAGTCTTTTTGTTCTAGGTTCTAGAGGACTTCTTCCACTTATCTTCCCCACATTGCTATTTTGATCTCTGGATGTGTTCATTGTATCACACAGCATTTTCCATTAAATTTCATTTGGCAAAGACACTTCTAAGAAGAATACTCGTTGCTTCCTTTTTGTATCAGCCTGATCATGTTTTATATATGCAGTATATATCTTTTCTATGCTTTTTCTTCTAGGGTCAGTTCTCTTTGTTCATCTGGTCATGTCAATAGATTTTAAAGAAATAAAAGCAAGAAATAATTGTGTTCAGTCCTTACTGAATAAGAAATCTGATTCTTTATTTTATATAGGAAATTCAGTCAAATATTTATTATGAACATTAACAGAGCAATTCATCATATGTTGTAGACCCATCTTGGCTTTCAGAGATTAATCCAATACAGTTACTAGTTAACTAGAAAATACTTAGTCTGTTGCCACTGCAAATAGGAATGTGATACAAAGATCTCTGGGCCAAGAATCATGAAGATACACATTCTAATGGCTACCTATTATATCCTGAAGAAGTCTCAGATTGCTTTTCGTAAAGAAATAGTTGTCATATAACCTAAGACAGTCTATTATAACTTATTAAAAAATTCCTCAACAATGCTTCTGTTTCAAGTACGGATAGTAGACTAGGTAGTTCAAGAAAACCCTACCATTGAAAAAAAACTAAGAAAACTCACAGAAATCAGAGAGCTAAAAAGGTAATGACTAATTACCAGGACAGAAACCAGCTCGGAGAACCCAGAAATAAACAAAACACTGTAGAGTATTTTGTTTTGAGAGTGCTTCCCTAACTAAAAGACACAGCTGATAGACTAAGGCATGTTTCTGCCAAGAACCCGCAAAGGGCAGGTCTAGTAATCAGTATTAGCTTGGACCCTACAGGGCTGCACCCTAGTACTAAGTTAAACATCATTCCAATTAGTCTACAACCAGCCTTTGAATCACCTGGGGAACCAGAAAAATCTCACATCTTAGAACATGGATGGATTAAAGTGGTCTCTAAAGTATCTTACAGAGGCAAACACAAAATCCTTTTGGAGAAAGATATCAGCATTATAGGCCTCATCTGATTTACTAATAGAATCTGATACCCATACTGAAATTATACAGATGTAATTTTTCTAAATAAACATTACAGCATCTTTATACCATATCAATAACTAAAAAAGTGCCCAATTTTTTAAAAATTCCCTTGCTGTTTGTATAAATTTATGGGCAATTAGAAAAATAAACAAGACTGTAAACATAGAACATATAGTAAGTACAATTCAATATTTTGTAGTTTGATTAAGTCTTCAAAATATTATTTTGTACTTCAAGATATCTCTTCTCACCACAGATGAACAAACTTAAATTACACTGGCCATGTTTCAAAAACTAAGCAACAGTGGTTTTATCTTTCAGTATGGTCTACTTTAGCAAAAGGACTGCACCCTATAAACCATATGCAACATTCTAAAGTAAGCAAAAACAGAAAATATACCCATTCTGCAATTTGAGCACAGAGCTATAATAGAATATATACCTATGACAATATTCTATCTATTTATAATCCAACTGAGCTCATTTTCTAAAACCAAATTATTTTCTTTGCCAGGAAATAGAAATAAAAAGTGGTAATTTTTATTTTGTTAAATAAATGATATTTTTACTATAATTTTATTATTTTATTGTTATTTGAAATTAAATACTCTGACAATGCTGAACTTTAATTTTTTAATTTTTATCATTGAAATGGATCAAAAAGTCTTTTTAATGTTCAAGTAGCTATAAATGACTATCAATATCTACCCCTCATACCTATAGTATCTGGGAGGTCTAGCAGTTCATTGTGTTGCAAGTCAAGGTTGGTTATCTGTGTGCAGTTTCCAATCTCCTTTGGGAGGTGTTCAAGTTGATTGTGAGCTACATCCAGCGTAATGAGGTTACATAATTCACCTGTAAATTGACCAACATAAAAATTAATGAGAATTATTAAAGAATATATTAAATAATACTGAAAGTAAAAACTTCATTCTCTATACTTTCTGAGAAAGTAAAAGTCAAACATAAAATATGAAACTGTTATTTGAAAATGACATCTTACAAATACTGAATCATTATTGTGTACACCTGAAAGTAATATATATGTCAATTATACCTCAACAACAAAATGATATCTGATAAAGTTAACACTTGAGTTGTAAATGATTACCAACCAATATTATGTATTTTTAAAATTTAAGTAACCAATTAAACCACAAAAACATTTGTATATTCTGTACTTTAAAGAGCTAATTTTTTAAAATAAATTCAACAAAATTATCAGATTTGAGTTCAATTTCAGGGTCACTTTATTTCAAAATATTTATGCTCTCAAATAGGCATATATTCTGATGTTATATAAATATATAAATTGAGATTTATAATAAAAAACTGCTTCACAACTTAACAGTATTCTGAAAGGGCAAAAAATAAAGTATATTGCTCCTTCTCACTGGTTGAAAGGGCTGTACTGGCAACTTAGTGTTATTCTGTCTTCAGAAACTTTATTGTTGATAACAGATATACTGGTTCCCCCAATGACTTTCCTTTTTTTCCTTTCTCAAAGCCAACACTGGAAATACTGAAAAAGTAAGATGAGAACAATAAAGTGCATAAAACTCTGAAAAATGGGTGTGGGGCACATGATTAGGCACTTATTATAAATTTAGGCAACAAAAGAGAAAACTGATAAATTTAGGCAACAAAAGAAAAGATAGATAAATTGAATTTCATCAAGATTAAAAACTTAGCTGTGTGAAAAGACACTATCAAAAGAGTTAAGAGTATCCAAAGAATGACAGAAAATATTTGTAAATCATATATATGGCTAAAGGATTAATATCCAGAATACATAAAGAACTCCCACAATTCAACACACATAAAAACAAACAACCTAATTTAAAACTGGGCAAAGGACTTGAATAGGTATTTCTCTAAAGATATGCAAACAGCCAATAAACACAGGAAAAGATGTTCAACATAACTCATCATTAGGGAAATGCAAATCAAACCACAATAAGATACTACTTCATACCCATTAGGATGGCTACAATAAAAAAAACAGAAAATAATAAATGTTGGCAAGGATGTGGAGAAATTGGAATTCTGTGCTGTACCTCCAGGAGTCCCACCCCAGGTTCTCAGTTTGAAGGTAGGAGAAAAATCCCCTCCTGTTTTCACCTAGACATATCATATTCAAACTGTAGAAAATCAAAGACAAAGAGAAAGATATTAAGAAGCTAGAGAAAAAACACCTTATCTATAAAGGAACAAGCATTACACTGGACTTCTCTTCAGAAACCACATAATCAAGAAGAAAATGGAATGAAATATTTAAAATATGGAGAGAAAAAAAAACACCAACCTAAAAGTCTGTATCCAATGAAATTAGCCTTTAAACGTAAAGAAAGAATTTCTCAAACAAAAATTGTGGGACTTTGTCACCAGTAGAACTGTCTTGCAAAAAATATTAAAAGAAATACTTCAGAAAGGAAAGTGATACATGTCAGAAATTTGGATCCACATAAAGAAAGGAAGAGCATCAGAACAGGAATAAATAAAATCTTTTATTTTTTTATTCTCAGTTGACCTAACAGATAACAGTTTGTTCAAAGTACTAATAGCACTAATATATTGGGTAACTACAGATTAAGGATAAGTTAAATGAACAACAGCAATGTTATAAGGGACAGATGGGAGGAATTGGGAATATTATGTTATAAGATATCTGCATTATCCATAAAGTGGCCTAGTGTTAATTCAAAGTGGACTTGTATTAGCTGTAAATGCATACTGTAAACTCCAGGGCAACCACATACATGCATACAAACAAAAAATGTTAAAAGGCATATAAATGATATGTTAAGGAGAAAATGAAACAATACAAAATGCTCCATTAAAACCAGATAACACAGGAATATGGTGAAAGACAAAAAAGAAATAAGGAACAAGTTTAACTAAAACAATACAAAATAGTTGATATTAATCCAATCAATAAACAATTTAAATGTGAACAATCTAAATGCAGGAAATAAAAGACAGAGACTGTCAGAGCCGACTAAAACCCAAGACCCAACAGTATATTGCCTTCAAAAGCCCATTTTAAATAAAGACACAGGAAGATTAAAAGTAAAGGGATAGAGAAATATAATGCTAATGCTAATTAAAAGAGTATATTAAATTCAGACAAAGCCAACTCCAAATCAAGGGAAATTATCAGGGATATAGGAAGCATTATGTAATAATAAACAGAACAATTCTCCAAGACATAACAATCTTTAAAGTGTATATACCTGCTTATCTCCTCCATCTCTAGAACAGAGCTTAGTACATAGCACTATGTTAATTGAAGGAATAAATAAAAATAACAGGAAAAATAAAATTTGGATTCTAAAATCCTTCATGCCAGAAGTAATAAAACATTTTTTGCATTTGCCATCATCTTTTCTAATAAATAATACCTGTGGTAGTTTCAGTTATCACTAAATTAACTTCCATTAAAGGAAAACACACAAATCCAAAAGTGTACAAAGTCCAGGCAAGTAAATAAAGTAAATTGGAAGAAGACTATGGCTAACTTTATCCTGTATGGAAAAACTATGTTTCAATTCAGGTCAATTATTGTCATTACAAGACTTCTTAACTTCAGTACAATAGTTTGGACCAGGTAACTCTTGGCTGTAGGAGGCTATCCTGTAAGAAGAAGCATCCTTGGCCTGTACCCACTAGATGCCAAAGGTACCCACCCATCAAGTCATAACAGTGAAAACTATCTCTAGACATTAGCAAATGTCCTCTGTTGAAGTATAGCCAAAATTGTCCCTAGGGAAGAATCACTGCTGTGTTGGAACAAGAAAGTTTAATATTGTCCAATCTTCACACTTTAAAGCAAAGTTGGAAATCTAGATTTCCATATAAATCTTCTAATATTTAAATACTAACAATTAATTCTTAGGTTAAAGCAGAGCAAAATACTGTGTAACCAAATATAACTGTGAGGTTTTTTTTCAGTATTCAGGATGCTGGCTTGACAACTCTGAACACAGAAACATTAATCACTAGTATCTTAGGATAGGAACTTTCATAGGACTATCTACCATTAAAACTAAAAAATGTTTTTAAATAGCAGAATATACTCAAGTTAAATTCCTTTTGTGTAAATCACCACCTAACAACTGAATTATTTTGTGCATATATATATTCTCTCCAGAAAGTTATCCTCTCCTCCAGCAGTACAACTCTCTGAAGTCAGGAGATCATGTTAATACACATTAAGAAGAATGTCATCTAGTAACACTAATACTTCTTTTTCACAATCTATTCATTCCTAAAGGTTTTGAAAATGCTTAGAACTTAGGAAATGTGGTTTAATTTTTTTTAACAGCAACAACACACAATATAACATGATTTTAATCTTTGGTCTGTTCATCCATGAAATAAAATAAACTCACAACTAAATTATATACATTACTGTGAGTAAATTTTAGATTTTTCCCAAAAGTTCATATATAAATGCTAAGACTCATGAAGAAAATTTTCTCTTAAGAAGTTTGAATTTTCTTAAGTCCAATAAAAAATTAAAGTGTGAAGTTTCCATGAAAGTCTAAAATATTTTCAAAACTAATCTGAAGTTTCCTATTTAAGATAATCAACCAAACATTTCTACCATGTGTAGGGGAAGGAGTTTTAAGATTTCTCTTCTTTAGAGTAATACTCTTACTCATAAATGCCAAAGTTCCTCTTGTTCATGTTCAGATTGTCAGGAACATTTGAAAATTCTGAATATACGATAAATTCTACACTAGACAATATTATACCAGGACAAGAGTCAATGTTACAATCTGCAAGAGATAGGGCATTAAATACTTAAGCAGTTCATGAAATACTTTCACACTATTTACTATTTCTATATTCTGTCCAGTTATATAGTTTTATATAGTTATATAGTCTTTCAAACATTTGTTTCACCACATATAATCCAAATATTTTTAAAAATCCACAAAACACACAAATCCATCTCAGATGGTTCTAAAGGGCAATGAGAGTGTTAACTGTGACGTGTCTCTGGACGGATTTGAGTTGTTTTATTTTGTACTTCATACATTTGCGTTTTGTGATTTTTTTAATTGTTTTTGTACACTTTTTAATTCAAAGAAAAAAAAAGATTCAAGAGGAAAACACTAGCAGTCTCTCCTACACTGTTTGTGGAAGAGCGTTTTCGGACCTGTAAACAGAAATTTCCATTTGTGAAGCACATGCATCTTTTAGTGAAAATGAATGCATCATGCTATCATATTGATGACATCAACCATTATTATTATGCATCTTATAACTCATATTCCATACTTACTAAAAAATCTTTTGAACTTAAATTTGACTTCCCACATATATTTACCTTCCAGACAGAAAATGGACTTCATTCATGCACCCATTCTAGAAATATTTATGAAGTACCTACTACTCTAGGGGCTGAGGATACAACAGAGGAAAAAAAAGACAAAATTTCTGCCTTCATAGAACTTAATTTAAAAAGAGAGAAAATTACCATGTAAACAAGATAAGGAAGTATTACAAGCTATAAAAGAAAACACAGATAAGAGTATAAGTGTGATATGGCAAAGGTAACCCTGATAACGTAGCATTTGAGAACACTCTTGAATAACGGGAGAGGAAAGAATGGGAGCCTTTAGGGGAAGGATGTTCCAGGCTGAGTGAATAGCAAGCACAAAGACTCTAAGGCAAGAAAGTAGTTCAAAACACAGCTGAAGGCCAGTGTGGCTGGAATAACAAGTAAGGAAGAAGGTGGTATCCAAGAGATGAAGTATTCATTCAGGAGTCAGATTCATTTAGGGTCTTGTAGGTAAGGACTTCAGCTTTGACTAAAGAGGTAGTTGTGAAGGTAGTAAGAGTGGAAT